GTAGTGTTTATTGAATGTGTTTTTAGGTGATGATAGCTCTCAGTGGCAGTTTGTTAGACGTTTCTATACCCACCAGTCAGTCACTGGCACTCCATCATATCTTGAATACACTGAAATCAAGTAAGTCTGGAATTAGCTTAAACTTTAAATTCCTCAAAAATTCAATTTTAAATGAGAAATCAGCTCAGAGTTTATATATAACAAAAACATGTACCATATAACAGGATTTGGGAGGGAGCTAAATTTGGTGGACAGCTAAATTTTGGTGATTGCCGACTTTTAATTTAGCGAAATTTGTGGCCATATGCCATTGAGCATGCACATAATGGCTCAAAATTGTGGATTTTTATTTTGGCGAATGGCTATCAAAACGTCAAATTTGCCAAATTTAGCTATCTCCAAAATTTCCTTCTATATGGTATATGCATCAGGAAAGAATTATTAAATGGAGAATCCTTTCTTTTTTATTTTTGACGAAATTTGGCCACAGATGGTCTTTGACCTGATATTTTGAGCAACTTATAAAAATCAAATTTTGAACAGAATTGGTTCAAAGTTTGTAAACGACATAAGTTTAAGTACTTGTACAGGTACATGTATATGCATCAGAAAATGTAAAGAATTGAAACTACATACTATAACAACCTGTATGATCTAATTGAAACTGGTTGCATACATCATAAGGCCATTGTTAGGCTAATATAATTTACATGTCTCATTGTCCATTTTCAGTATACAGTTAACCAGTCGTGGTCACATTCAGTCTCCTTATCTTAGACTGTCCTATCAGGCTATACCTACCAATGATGCACAAGTTAGCTCACTTCCATTTCTATTATATTTTATCATAATTAATCTGCCATTAATTTTATCTTCCCTTAACCTTCCCTTAGGCTTCATTTGTTGTTAGATACAGTGGAGGAAACAATGCTTTTAATATTGCTTTATTAGTAAGTGCATGAATTCACCCTCTTCTTTTATGTACACATGCCTATTCTCTCTTCTTGACGGGTATTAGCTAGTGTGTTTGTTACTCTAACTGCAGTCTATGCAGGCTAGTCCATAATCGTATTAATAAATAATATTTTAAAATTTTGTTTTTTTAGACTTTTATTTATCTGGTTGTAGTCCTTTGTTCCATGTTGTCCTTTTCGTTTTGTTCCTGGTCTCCATTTCCTCTAAATTTTGGTTGTTATTCTACAAGCTACAAGTGACCCTTCTCCTAATGCTCCCTCTCACCTCCCAAAAAACAACCTTCACACACTCCTGACTCTCTTTTGCTCCGTCCAAATAATTTACCTTATATGGAAACAGACCTCTGTTAGGATATTCCTCATTGACTGGGAGAAACCAAAAGGGGCGGGACAGGCAAAGGACACAACTGTGCCCATCACATCAACAGTGAGCATCTGGAGGACATATTTTGTGGCAAATGAGTGGAACGAAATTCAAACTAATCGTAAATTGAATTCTTTTTGTTTTGATGTTGTCGCTGCTGTTTCTGGAGATTATTGGTTTGGGCAATTTTGCCAAGAGGAATCCAAATAAAAATGTGACCACACCCACTGAGCGATACACTGCTCCTCATAGCTCAGTACTAAGGATTGGACTGGCCATTATTGTGTACTTGTTGATAGCTGGATGAAAAGGAAAGAATTCTCTATTTAAAAAATTTTTTCAGATACATATATGTAAAAATTATAACAGTAGCAAATTTGATTATGTCTCTTGCAATGTTGATGTTACAGAGGAATTTGAAATGATTGTATTATCTTTAAACTTGTCACCACCTGTGAATAAATTAATAACTAAATACAACGAATCACTTAATGTACTGTACGTTAGATCATGCATACAGGTATACAATATTGTCATACATGTAAGTGTATGGAAATTTTGAGCG